GGCTCACTTGAACTACCAGGGGACGCAAATCGATTGGTAGAACCTACATCAGACCCGCTTGAACAGTCTGAACCCTCCGAACTAGACATCAGAGAATAAAACGGGATTCCAAAAGCACTCACCCGGGAAGAAGACTGAAGAAGACCGCGAAAGCTCGAATAGGCAAGGAACCTGGGATGCGAGCTGAAGAGCCTGAACGCGAACTGGAACTTAGGCGCGAGCTCAAGAGGTACAACAGTAACAAGGATGCCCCCCCCGCACGCTATTTATATCCACTGCGGCCGGAAAGCGATGGCCTAGATCGAAGCCAATCCAATGGCCCACAGCCGCGCTAAGCCGCACGTCTTCCAAAGCCAATCAGCGCACGTCTTTCCGAAACTGACGAGGCGTCGTGCACGTCCTATCAGAGGACAGGTGTCAGCACGCGTCTTCTCGAAACTGACGGGGTGTCGGTGCACGTCTCCTCGCAATAAAAACGTCTGCAGCGCAACTCTCGAACGACTGCCGTCACGTCTCCCAAACGCGCGCCCTTTTTTGAAAATCAAATTAAAGCGAGCGCGCTCAGCACGGACCAAAACCCTCCTGCTACCTTACAAACTCCCCGCGCCAAGACTGGACCCTTGTCGCAGGGAGTGGGGGTTAATTGATGAAGGGGAATTTGGCTCGACCTCGCAATTACCCGACACGTGGCAGAAACAAGCAACTCGGGACAGTAGAGCGCCCGAAACAAACACCGAAAAGCAAAATCCAAGCTCATTACTGAGCCCGAACTCCAGACCACCCTACTAGGAGCCCGAGCTCCCCACCAAGGGCCCGAGCTCCCCACCAAGAGCCCGAGCTCCCTACCAAGAGTCCGAGCTCCCTACTGGGAGTCCGACCTCACTATTAAGAGCCCGAGCTCCCCACCAAGAGCCTGAGCTCCCTACCAAGAGTCCGAGCTCCCTACTGGGAGTCCGAGCTCCCTATTAAGAGCCCGAGCTCCCTACCAAGAGTCCGAGCTCCCTACTGAGAACCCGAGCTCCCTACTGAGAACCCGAGCTCCCTGCAATGAGCACAAACTATATTGAGCCCCAAGCCTCGCAAAGCTGTGACCCGAGCTGACCCGTGGTAGCTCGGAACACTCCCCAAACCGAACTCAAGACATCTCGTTCACTCCAACACTTAGCTTTCGAAACACCAGGCTGATCAAACGTACCTGACGCCAAGACGTCTGTATCCAAGGACGACGCACCTGACTGATTTGGGATCCGACGCTTGACAGCCGCACTTCAAACGGCCTCCTGCTACCGCCACCTGCCACCGTCGTTACTAGTCGCAGAGACGGCTCCGACAAAGGAACAGTGGCGGTTCTGACCGGCCAGAGGAAATGACATCTGAACTAGCAGGAGTTCAGAAGTAATCATGCCCGATCTGACAGAAGCCTGGAAGTGAGTGCGCGAGGTGGTTATAAAAGGCTCCTACCCSCCAKRAACRWGGTATGCTAACTTTTGCGCTATCTGGTCTATCTTGCCTTTGAAAAACTCTAACTTGAGCTTCGGAGCCCTTACGYCGGGTTCTCCCCGGAGCTTCTCTTCTCCCTCCGTTTCAGGCCCCTGCCATCCGGTTCAGAGGCAAGATCGTTGACAGCTAAGACCGGCCGGATTGTGCACCATCAGTAACCAATCAGGGAATCATTGGCCCTTCTACTAGCAAAAACTTATGAGTTTTCTAAATAATATCACGGGTATTATAAAATCACCATTTTCTCCATTTTTAAGAAAACAATTAATATTTAGACCTTATTTAATTTTCATTTAATTAGAAATAATTAATAAAGACTATTACATATTTACACATTCCTAGAGTCACCAAAAATTGGATTATGAAATTGCTTAAATAAATTTTCCAATCCATTGACTAGAACCAAATTGTCCTATAAATGCTGGTGGAGCTTCAACCATGATAACCCCTCACTAGACTACCACCCAAATTAGTTTATGTGTTGGTTTATAAAACATGCATTCACTCATCAAATGAACTGAAATTTGCCACTTGTTATTCGTGACCTGAAATTTTTATAGTCTCACATGGATATGATGATTTGGTCATAAGATTTATAACTGATTATTAGACATTTAATGCCGCTTTGAACACTACCCACATTTCCATCCCCTAAGGAAAAATAAAACTGTTTTTAGTTATGAATTCAAAATTTCAACTCCATAAATGGGGGGAGTCGCATTGCACTTTTCCATAACCAGTGAAGCTAAAATATCCAGACTTGCAAAGCTCCATTGCTAATACTAACACCAACCTCTCTATTTCTATAACCATGTGGCGTAGATATGTAATATTTGGGCTGTTGGGTTTGGCTTCAATTTTTCAGATAGAGGCTACTTCCGGGTCCAGTTCTCATCACCAAGCGCAAGCAGTCCTCGACACAGATGGTAATCAACTCCAAGCTGGAAGAGAATATTACATTGTTTCAGCTATCCGAGGAGGCGGAGGAGGTGGAGTAACTATTGGTAAAAGAGAAAGTTCAAGTTCAAGTTCACGCACACCCACTGTGAAACAACACTCCTACGACATGAACTTGGGTAGCCCTGTTACTTTCACTCCGGCATCTAATTCCTCCAAAGAGATGCTTATTTGGGAAGAATTTGATGGAGTTCGATACCTTAGATCAGAAGAAAATAGAATCAAAGAGCAAGTCGATTTGAATATTGGGTTCTCAGGACTAAAGAGAGTTTGGCAAGTCGAGGAAGCCAACAGTGATGCATCATCATCATCTAGCCAAACAACAAGATATGTGACACTTAGAGGCCAACCAGGCCATCCAGGAGCCTCCACTGTCGGGAACTGGTTTAGGATAGAAAGGATTAGCAGGTCAAGCCCCGAGTATCGAATCACCTACTGTCCTAGCGTATGCGAGTCTTGCCATGTTGAATGTGGAAATGTTGGGATTAGAAAGGAGAACGGGAAGAGGTGGCTTTCAGTGTCACAACATAGAGAGTTCCCATTTGTATTTATGAGGGCGAGACACTCCAGTGATGAGTAGAAAGCTCAGAATGGCTAGTGAATAAGAACGAAATCATATCAATTAGGCGCTTGGGCTTTATGCATTTTTGTTGTTATTGGGGACTTGGGGCACTTGGTGCTTTTGCTGGACTTTCATTATCATATTGGAATAATTTCATATACAGCAGTTGATTCTCTCTCTTTCTTCTCCCCATATTCTAAATTATGAAATGACAACATTATTTCCATGTTAACACCAAGTTTGATATAAGACTGACTGCTTCTCTCTGTCTGAACCAAGTTTTAATTCTCATTCGCATTTTTGTCTGAACCAAACAGATTATGGGAATAAATCATTCCGATTCCGATTCCAAAGAATTTCAATTCCAATTCTGATTCCGATCTCGATTGCAAACCAAACAAACCCTTAGAGGTATTTTAGAAATTAATATTAAACCTAAAGGTATTTACTAATTTATCATCTGATTAAAGGAATTATATGCAAATCCCATCCCCACTTCAGAGACCAAAAATATTTTTCTTGGCCCCATTTAAGAATTGGGAAGATTTGCCCATCCAGGGTAGAAGAAAAGTTGCCATCCTTTGGGGGCAGATGCCACAATGGCCAAAATGTTGGAGAAGGTTCTAGTAGTTTACCCAAAAAATTAAAGATTCCCTGGTTAAACTCAGCATCATATTGTATCCATTCATATCAATTGATACATACATGATATAAACATGACAAGCACTAAAAAGTGGAGATTCCATAGCTTGACAAGTTGACATGGTATCATATTGCTTCATATCAACCTAGATATACGCAATACAGTGTGATGATACATGTGGATGTGATAATATCGTATGTACACCGGTGGAATGTTTGGCACAACGTCGAATCCAATCATGTCACATTCCCTGCACATTGTATTTCAATCATGGTTTAAAAAAATGACCCGGTAATGGAATCGTTCTGGCCACCGGTTTTTGGGTTGATGGTTCTAATAGATGGCCTGTTTTATCAAAAAATTAAAAAATTATTTAAAATAATTAAAAAAAATGACCAAAAACTATTGAACAGGTCGATTATTCGGGTCAACAGGTCATTAACATTCAATGGTTTTTTCGTTAGGGGCTGGATTTGGGGTAAAACGGAACTGGTTGCCTGAATGGTTCTCAGGCCAAATGGTTCAACTGTCTGAATCAATGATGGTTCAAAAACCATGATTTTAATACAAACCAAGCATATCGTGTTGATATTTTGAATCTTATTTATAATTTTAAAGAGATCAATGGTATAAGCCCAACTAGATTAGGTCAGGTTAATCTCAACACAGTTACTCGAGTTATCTAACTCCCAACCCTAATCCAGTGCAGATGGACCAACATCTTCATGGTTATGGTTATAGTCTTACAGAACACCTTGGGGTGTAAAATAATAATATATACTGGTAATCAAGCATTCCAATAGTAATTAAGGCCCCAAGAAGCACAAGAGTGACCAGACTTGATGGCTCCGTCAGGGGCTGTTTAACAAATAACAAAAACTCCACGTCAGCCATCAAGTGTTATATACCCCGTAACCATTCCAATCTCTGACTTCGTGTGCATGAATGAGGTGGGCCGTTTTTGGTTAATCAGCACTTGACTTAATTAGGTGTGTCAATGGACCGGTTTTGGATTGGATCCATCCAAATAAAAATCAATTTAGACAAGACCAACAAGACATTAAATTGGACCAACCCAAACTTAAATAGTCTGAAGTATTTATTGGTGGTCCAACTGTAATGAATTTATATTGGATTGGATAAGATTGAGACAATATCCGGTCCATTGATAGAGATAAGAATATAGGTGTCCATGGACCAAGTTTACATTAATAAAACAAATTTGAACAGATGGACAGTCTAAACATTGAATTGGACTGGTCCAAAATGGTTCAAAATATTCATTGGATTGGATTGGACCTGGTCCATTGTTATGGACTCACATTAGACCAGACCAGATTAGACCAAATCTAGTCCAATTGACACCCATGGACAACCATCAAGTAGGGCTGTTTACGTGTCAGGTTGAGTCAGTTTACTAGTTTTTTTCAACCGACCCAACTTGGTCGGGTTACCTAAAGATTAAACCAAAACCAATCCTCTATTAAGCAAAACCGATGTGATCGGTTTAGGTCAGTTTGGGTTGGTTTTGGTTTAAATATATACATTTCCAAAATATATATTGGAAATATACATATTATATATAATATTTCAATGAAAATATATTTATAGAAACCGAACCAAATTATCGATTTACCCGTCTTTCCAACCCAAACCGACTGGTGGTGAAAAAAACCGGCCAAATTAGTAGGGTCAGGCCAGGTTGGTCAGTTTGAATTTATTTGTGAACAGCCTACCATCAAGGGCAGCTAATCTGCGGTCCCAGGAAAGGTAAAAAAGTGCTGATATATTCTGCGGACAGGATGAGGCCAAAGCAAGGAAAACAACAAAGATGCTTCATATTCAAAAGCACACTACTCTCAAAAAAAAAAAGAGCTTACTGATACAAACCCGTCAATGATACGAGTTGGGGTTGGAATGATAAAGTAATAACATCGGGATCTGAAAATTCCTCAAATCCAAGTGCTCCAATTCAAGGGCTACAAGTTCTGAGAATCCCTTCTAAGAACGGATTTCACTTTCAAATTTACAACCCACTATAAATTTTTGAATTATCGGGAAAACAAGGACATGAATCATGGGTCATGGCTAAGAGTACCACAGTCCATTACCTCTACTCCGATTTATATTCTGTCTCGCACGTAGAAAGTAATAATTACTGGCACTCTGGCAGTATTCCAAATGTAACGTCTTTCTCGTCTAGAGATGGGTTGTTGGCTTGTTGCCACGGCTCCTGCCTGCCTTAATTCCAGCATATTGTCATCAATATACAGCTGAATAGGATATAAATTCAGCATACAGAGGCAATGAGTATACACATCTCCTGACATTGCCATCCAAGAATTTCCAGAATGCACCAAAGAGGGAGCACTGAGCCAACTGGGTTGTCTTAGCACCATTTCACTCATTTGAAATCTGATTCATCTGATCTGCATATCCCTCGCCAACTGTAAAGGTTCAGATGGTTGGTTTGCCTGGTTTGAACCCATTGGTCTTGATAGATGCAAGGGGGCTCTCTTTGGGGCCAGTGATCCTTGTGGGCTCAAAGTTCTTCTGAGCTGTTTGTTGGAGAACTTGCTGGTGCTCTGATGTTTCCATGTTCCTTAAATATGGCACATCACCTTTGCAGTAACGGTGCCACATGTTGCGATATGTTGATTCCAAACTTAAGACGAAGTTTCGTCCATCACAGACTGGAGAGTTCATCATTTGGTCTCGAAGCTTCATTCTAAGCTTTGAGAGCTCTGAAATATTAGATGCCAAGTCGATTGCTAGCTGGACGTACTCATCTTCATTTTTAGCAATTAGATGTCCTAACCCTGCATTTCAGAAAGCACTAAGTTCTAGTTTATTTGGACCAATTCTGTAAGAAAAAAGCATGAAAGAAGATAAAAGCTGCACAAGTAGGAAATACTGCTGCAAGGTATCTTCTAAATGAACAAATATCCATTTTGACTCTGAGCTCTGGACACTTTCATTTCTTATTTTTCCTACTTTATTGTTTGACATAATGAACATCTTAACTAGCGGGAGGTTGTGATATGTCATGTAGCTGAGGAATTCAACAAGTCTAACCCACTCTTGAAAATTTATCTTATGTTTGTATGCATGAGGTGCAAATATCTAAAGTTGATTTTTTTAGGGGAAAGAGGGTTGCTTACTGTCAGCTTCATGTATAACATACATTTTTATCTCTTCATTTTTGCATAGAAATATAAAACCACTTTGCTTTCCCTTCTCAAATTAAACAAATAATGAATCTAGGATTATGAAATCCAACTTTCCTCATAGTCTCATAAAGAGTTCTTAGGTATCAATGGTAACATTTCATTTATCTGTGTCCTTTATCTACAGGCAAATGAATGTTGAAACACGTTATTGTTGAAATGACACTTTCCAAGCATGTGGAGTCAGACCCAAGTCCCCAATCCATGCAGGTGGAAAGCCACTCCATGAACACAAAAACACTCTCTCGTTTTATCAAGTTGTATTTTATATGCAAATTAGTTTAAACACTGGTTATACATTTTTATCTGAACCATTAGTTCTCTACAAGTTCTAGTTTCGCAAATGCCATAGTAGTCACTTGCCCTTTCATTTTAAGAGATACATGCTGTTCCCATTCCCTAACACAATTTATATTACATACACTAGTGTAAGAGCATGCACATGGTAAAGATAAAAGGGTAAAAAGATGACAAGACATTTGGATTTTGAAACCTTCTTACTGAGCTCCTTTAAATGTATTAACTCAGTGATTGGATTTAAAGTAAAACATTAGAACTGTATGCAAGCATTTATATTATATGATTGAATTGAAATATTCTATTTTTTAAGGCCTAGAAGATGATCAAAATACCCATGCTGTCTAAAAATATAGAACAAAAAAGATTTCTTATTTTTACCTTCATAGCTCCTGCATCATCCCTCTTGCTGAGTTAGGCTATTTGTTTTTCTTAATCGAATAAGACTATGAATAACTGTGTATTTATAATCAAGTAAGGCTATTTGCATTTACATCATTTGCATTTACATCCAGTTTGTGGAGTCGGACCCAAGTGCCCCAGTCCATGTGCAAGTGGGATGCCACTCGACCCCTTGGTGCTTGGATTCAAGCATGCAAAGAAAAATCAACACAAACAATGGTCTAGCTTATTGGATTTGTATTCATGTGCAAATTTGTTTAAAAATTGACTATGCCTCCATTGGAACTGCTAATTCTCTATATATTCCTGATTTTAGAGTGTTATTGCTATCTCTAGCTCTTGATTTTAAGAGATACATGTAAGCTACAAACAGGGGCCATTGCTTGGTCTAATGACTAATGGTAAAATCTCAAGCTGACAAGCATGAGAATGCATGTTCAATTCTGGGAGCAGCTCCTTTGTGCAAAAAAAAAAAAAAAAAGCCAAATGTTAGATCTGTATACAATCTATCCCTCTCAATACCCCAAATAGCTGGATCAACATTAAAAAATGGTTTTTTTAGTAGGGTGCAAATGGTATCTGTTTGTCTGAGTTTGAATTCAAATTCAATTCAGCCAAGTGTGATCTGAAAGTGGATCAAAGATGAATCTACCTCCATCCATTTGATAATATTTAAATATATGCTTATGATATAAATAAACTTGTATTGTATCTATTAATCAAGTTAACCTTTTCTTTTAAAAAAAAAATGGATTGTATCTATTAGTTGGTTTGAATGTCATATGTGTACTAAAAAGTCATAGGATCAAGTCTCAAAAGTTCTTTCAGTTCATTTATTTATGACATAAAATATCAGTGCCTTAGTTAATCTTATTAATGAAACAACACATTTTGATAATTTTTAGTTAAATTTATTAATGGTGTGCAAATATCCAAATCTGATGGATAAGAATTCATTTGAATCCAAATATTAATGAGTGAAGTTAGGATCTAGGTTATACCCGATTCAATCTAATCTGTTTGCATCTCTTTTAATACATGGCTATCTACATCTTAGAATCTCCCCTCCCCCACATTAGGTTATTCACTTTTCTTTATCAATTATGTCTCGAAATTCACATTTACAATTCTGTTCTTTTTATTGAGATTTTTTATAATATATAAATTTATAGTTATATATTATATGGATGGACGGAAAAGGTTCACTAGTCAGGTCAAGTAGAAAGCTTCCCTACAGATATGGGACCCACTGGATTAGCTCCATATCAGCCATATGCCTCACCTTGTATTGTGGTTTGCACAGCTAATGTGATCTGTTTGAGGTTTCAAGTTTTGAACCTAAAACCTACCTATAAAGGATGATTTATTCTACACATACGGCAATATATGGTTTTAATGTTTCATGGATAGAAGATGGGGAAAGGAATGCGGAGACTCCTTTTAAGTCCCAAACAACTTTGCCATGTAGAAGATTCTCAGGTCATCTAAGGAAGCTCACTAAATGACCCAAGTAGAAAACCCACCATATATGTGTGTGAACAGCAAGTCTCTTGAACCTGTTTTACCCAGATACAGCTGGCCAGTGTAGGATACAAAGTTTACACTGTACGATATGGCACCCCGGTACAAGCTTTTGGCATCATAACCAGACACTCAAATCCTAAATATTTTCATATTTGGCATATTGTTGTGCTCCTCCCCCTTATGCTGTTGCTCAAGTGACCCAAAAACATGAATAAATCAACATATATCAGAAGAATATGATTTGTGATAGATCTGACATCAGAATCATGTACTTTCGACATAGAACTATAGAAGCAAATGGTTTTCTTTCTTTGAGCGCAAAGAAAAGGTTAACTTCTTTGTCGTAGATTCATACCATTCCTTCCACATTGAGGTGTTGATGTAATGTACTAAATAATTTGATAAGAATTGGAGCAAAGTGAAGAGGAATTGAAGAATCTCAGTCTTCACACTGAACCTGTGTACTGTAGGTGGAGGGGTCATGAATGCACTTCTTGTAAGAATGTTATTTGAGTCACAAGTGAACTTTTAGATAAACTTATCACACATTCAGAAAAAGGACCAAAGAGAGTAATAAATTTGACATTGTTTTGAAGTTATTTCAGTTTTTATCCTTCTAATTTTAGTTATTTCCAGAATTTCATCTGTTGATCTGATTTCTCAGGCCAGCCATGATCAAAATGAGAATCATACAAAGTAAACCAAACTGCATACTATGTTCATGGGACACATGAGCATCTCCAGCAAAGTTAACTTGTAAGTAGTATTGGAGAAGTCATAAAGGAATGTTAAAAGATTGTAGGAAACGTGAAAGCATTGCAAACCACTAGAAAAAGTTCATTTATATTTTGAGGGAAGAAAATTGTAAAAACACTAAAACTACCATATAGAGCAAAGAATACCAAACTCAAAGTACGCTTAATAGAATCTAAAAACCACAGGTATATATTAAGAAGTCATAGGGATTATGTTGCAATCACTTAAATGTCTAACTGTACAAATTTCTATTTCTGTTGGAGCTAGTATACAAGTCAACAATGTACCCAGGAGAAATGCTGCATAAAATACTTCCAAAATTATGCAGAAAAGAAAGTTCCTCACCAACTTTACTGAGAAGGCTTACACCGACATTATGGGCATGTACTGAGCCAGCCATAGTAACACATGGAACTCCCATGTACAAAGATTCACATGTTGTTGTGGTCCCCGCATATGGGAAGGTATCCAAGCTATATGAGAAGATCAACATCAAGATCAGAAATAGAAGAGAATAAATAATGAAGAAAACAATAATTTAGAGCAGATTTCAGAAAGAGAAGCCATGAAATAACAAGGACCCTTGGCATGATTTTTTTGCACAATAAAGAAGAAATTTTATTAAAAGAAGAGAAAAAGCAAATATAATGGAGTGTTGAGATAACACACAGGAAAAAGAAACCATACATTGCTCAAAAAAACAACCCAACCTAACAGCCTAAGCATCTAAATACAAAGACAAGAAAACTAAAAAAGAACCAACGAAAGGTAGCTCCAAATTCACATCTGGATACATCAAAACCCCAACAGTCCAAACTTCAACATACAAAAATCAAAATCAACCATAAAGATTCTTTAGCAGAAACCTGAACCAAAATGAAGCTAACTTATCCACCACCAACTCCTCTATCTTACAAAGTTAAAAAAAAAAAAATCATATTTCTTTCCATAATTTCTTGTCCCCCCCCCCAACTTGGGGCCCCGGTCTCTTCAGTATCCTCCCTAACTCCTCTATTCCCAACTAAGCCATCCCATTAACTTCTACTAGCCCTACTGCTTCCAGCATCCAATTTTGAGATTCTTCAGTTTTACTCTATCTACCCCTCTCTTCTAACTGAAAACACTTGGTTTTTATAGCAAGTTCCTCCCCTCCCAAGAAGAATATGTTAAGATATAAGAGTATAAGAAATTGGTAATTTTTTTTGTAAAAAGACAGGTCTGTCATTATATACTATCCCAAAATCAATACAATATTAAAAGAGGTTGGGAGACATGTGACTTTGACCTATTCTCCCACTCAATAGTTCTTAAATCTATTCACTATCAAATCATCACAGAAACAACTGAATAAAGCCAATTTTATAGTTACTGTATCAGCCACTTCATTTAAATTTATCCATTTTGATAATAAATTAAATAAAATTTATTTATTAAATTAAAAGGAAAAAATACAGTAAGTATTGAGAAAAGACACTTAAGTTCAAAATCTAGATATCGAAGGATGATATAAGCATATTAAATGGGATGAAGATTCGTAGAAGCTGCAAGATGGAGGAAAGCGATGAAGATTTTTTTTTATCAGCAAAAAGATTTTATTAATAACAGAGAAATATTGAAATACAATAGATATAGGTTGCAGAAAGCATTAACCCAATCTGCAAACACTACAAAGCATTTACAGTTCTGCCCAGTACAAGGTAGATCTATTTGCCCCCTGTTTTGCTAGAGTGTCCTCCAACCCATTTGCAGTCCTTTTGATCCAGCCAAACTGAGTGTTGAACTTCCTTGCAATTATGTCTATTTTTCTGTATATAAATTTGAGCTTCCAAGGTGCTGATGTAATGTTTTTAGCCCAAGAAATGACCAGCAGTGAGTCTCCTTCTATTTCTAAGTCTGTTGTACCAATCTACTCAGCCATCTTTAAGCCTTGAAGTAGAGCCAATGATTCAGCCTGTATTGAGTCACCAAAACCTATTGGTCCTGAGAAGAGTGCCACCACTTCACCTAGATGATTTCTAATAATGCCTCCTATACCTGCCCTTCCCGGGTTGCCAAAGGAGCTCCCATCAAAGTTTAGTTTTAATTTGTTCAGTGCAAGTGGCTTCCACTCCACTCTCACAACTTCTTTAGGAAAATCTGTCTGTGCTACTTCAGTCCAGCTTCTGAAAATCTCATTCGTGGAGAAGTTTTTGAATAGATCCATAGTCATCACCCAATATGCAGTTCTGATTTTTATGGTTTTGATGACTTCCTCCTTTGATTTACTTTTTCCAGAGAAGATTCTTTGGTTTCTTTCCTCCCATATAGTCCAAACCACAGAAGCTCTTGCTGCCTTCCATAAGCACTTTCCTCTTTTCTTCTGTTGCCTCAGGAAGGAGGGGCTGAATAGACTTACCATATCCTGTGGGGGAGCACATCTGCATCCAAAGAGAGAACAAACAATTTCCTAAATACAAGAAACAAAAGAGCAGGATAAGAGTAAGTGGGGTAGGGTTTCACCACAATCCATACTAAGGACACACATGGGGAGAGAGACATTTATTTGGCCTTCTTTTTTGTAGCACATCACAAGTGTTGACCTTCCCTAGGAACACTTCCCAACAGAAGGCTTGCACTTTAGGAGGGATCGGTTTACACCAGACTTCTCTCACTGGAAAGTTCACCCCCAAAGGAATAGAAAGAGTGAGCAAACCGAAGAAAGAGGCACAAGAAAATAAACCATCAGAAGAAAGAGCCACAACCTATCTTCTTCACAAGGGAATCTCCATAGCCATTTCCCTAGAAGGGCCTTGTTTTTCTGTAAGATGTTCCCAATACCTAGGCTACCTTGCTCCTTAGATTTACAAACTTGCTCCCACTTCACTAAATGATCCTTCTTTTCATCACCAAGTTCCCACAAGAAATCCCTCATTATCTTCTCCAACTTCCTTGATATTTTCACCGGGATCTTAAAGGTGGAGAGGAAATAGGTAGACAGGTTTGCTAGGGTGGACTTTATCAAGGTGATTCTACCCCCAGGGAAATGTAATTTCTCTTCCACATTGCCAACTTCTTTGTGAATCTCTCTAAAATTGGCTTCCAAAAGATTTCAGTTTTTGGGTTTCCCCCCAATGGCAAACCTAGGTATTCTAAGGGCCAGCTTTTCACTTCACAACCTAGCAAATTTGCCAAGGCTTGGATGTCACCCTCCCCTATGTTTATTCCCGCTACACAACTTTTTCCCCAATTTACTTTTAGTTTGGAGGCTTGTTGAAACTTGTCCACCAAAATTTTCAGATTCTTCAAACTGGATTCATCACAACTCTCACAGAAGATGATTGTGTACCATCTGCAAATTGCAAGTGAGACACCACCACTTCTGAACTACCAATCCTCCAGCCTTTAAACTGATTTTCTTGGTCAGCCTTGATGATTTGTGTACTCAGAACCTCAGCCACAAAAGTAAATAAGAATGGGGATAAGGGATCACCCCTGTCTCAGTCCTCTTTTAGCCGGGAACAAATCCTTTGCTACCCCATATAGGAGAATAGAGAAGTGTGTCGAGCTAATACATTCTTTGATCCACATTCTCCACCTTTCACCGAAACCCATCTTTTCCGTGAGATTCAACAAGAAGGACCAATCCACCATATCATAAGCCTTTTCTAGATCCAACTTACAAACCAAACCTATGCCACCTTGTCTTTTCTTAGTTGCCACACATTCATTTGCCACCAAGATTTGATCCACTATTTGTCTCCCTTCTACAAAAGCCCCTTGGTTTTGTGAAATAACAAATGACAAGACTATTTTCAACTGACAAGCCAGAACTTTAGCAATGATCTTGTACATGCTACCCACAAGACTTATCGATCTGTAATCCTTAGGGGTTTTGGCCTCTTGCTTTTTTGGCACTAAAGCAATAAATGTTGCATTTGCTCCTGGAGAGAGTATCCCTTTTTGATAGAACTCACCAAAGACATCCATTAAATCATCCTTCAAGATTTCCCAACAATCTTGATAGAAAGCCATTGAAAAACCATCCGGCCCCAAAGCTTTTGATCTATCCATCGAGAAGATTGCTTCATGGACCTCCTCTACACTGAAGGCTCTTTCTAAGATGGCAGCTTCAGTTTCTGGCACTCTATCCCACTGTAATTCTCCCAGATCCAAATTGCTTTCAATAGAGGATCCTAGGATTGACTTAAAATGATCCACAAAGCACCTTTCAATTTCCTCCTTTGAGTTTATTTCTCTTCCCTCCACCTCTATACTGGAGATTTGGTTTTTCCTTCTTCTCCCATTTGCTAGGGAGTGGAAAAATCTAGTGTTTCCATCCCCCTCCAGAAGCCATTTGCATCTTGATTTTTGTCTCCAAGAAATTTCTTCTTTCCTTAGGATCTCCTATAGTTGCACTTTTAAATTCCATCTTTCAGCTCTATCCTCTGGTCCACATTCTTTATTTGCTTCCCTTTGATCCAACTACTCTATTTTCCTAGCTAAATCCTCCTTTAACACCTCAAGATTTCCAAATTCCTCTTTGTTCCACTCCTTGATCTTTTCCTTCAATCTTTTCAACTTCTTGGTGAATCTCACCACCTTCTCTCTAGCCCCTATTCCACCTTCTGACCACCAATCCTTTACCTTTTGCAAAAAAATTGGAACTTCCAGCCACATATTCTCAAATCTAAAGGGTGTGGGGCCTCCAATAAGGTTTTCTTGGTAGAAGCTTAGAGGCCAATGGTTTGAGGTTACTCTAGGGAGGGCTTTTAGTGTTAAGTTTCCCCACAACTCCTCCCAATCAAATGAGAAACGAAACATGTCCATTTTTTAGCAGACTTTACTTTACTGAAGATTTGACCATGTGAAGGAGGCTTGCGACAAGGTAGGTTCTCACAATTCTAGGGATTCAATCAAGGAGTTGAAATGTCTCATACTTGTTGTTATGGTTTGATTGGGATTGTTTGTCTCACTTGTGTACCTTATCACATTGAAATCCCCACCCAAACACCATGGACCATCCCATAGGCCCCTAATTGTGGCTAACTCTCCCCAGAATGTATCCCTCTCTCTATATGAGTTTGGGCCATACACATTAGTTAGCACCCACATCCTTCCATCACTCATCCTCTTGGCTTTTATTGATACTAAGTATTGTCCTATCAACTCCTCTTGACAATCCACTTCCTCATTCTTCCAAATTGTGAGGATACCACCCGAGGCACCCCAAGATGGGGCAAAGGACCAACTTAGACCCCTGCTACTCCAGATACTTCTTATCCATCTTCCATCCAAATCCGAAAGTTTTGTTTCCTGGAGCATGACCACTACCGGTCTCTCTTTTCTTATCACATTCCTGATGATTCTCTTTTTCTTTGCACTCCCTAATCCTCTTACATTCCAACAAAGAATCTTCATTCCACTTTTTTCTCCCTAACCCAGTCCTAGCCTCTTCTTTTTTTCTCCCTCTTCTTGTTTATAGATTTATCATAGG